TGCATGTCATTTGGAAAATATTTAATATTTTATTTCAAAAATTTTACTGTGAATTCCTCTAGACATGTATAAATATACGCTCAAAGTTTTAAATAGATCGATTCACTATTTTTTATTAATTTTTAATTTCCATAAATGACCTTTTTTAGGTTGTCACCCTAGGTGTGCCCCTTAAAATCAATATTTTTATGCGTTCTTAGACTCTATCTACGAGTTCCAGAATAGTTGGAAAGTATTTAAAAAATAACGTAAATGTTTATATAATTTTAATGATAAGCTGGTAAAATAGGGGAAGGGGCGCTAGAAATAAAAGGTCTTTGGGCGCTGAGGACCCCAGCAGCGTCCCTGGTAATGATGTTTATTAAACTAATACATAGTAAAATGTAATTCAAAATGTATATATATATATATATATATATATATATATATATATATATATATATACTAGATAACCCGACAGACGTTGTCCTGCACCCACGCCTTCAATTTTTAAATATCCTTCACTAATATTTACTGTTTACCTAAAAATAATAATCATTGTTTTTTTTAATCACTCTTTACGCCAAAATTCATATACATCAATATGAGCAATGTTAAATGTAACACTGCTTTAAATAAAATGATGAGTCTCAATTTCCACACTATATTGGAAATTATAGTTCTTTAAACGGCATAACAAATTTAGAAAAAAATAATATATCCGTGAAACTAGCTGTAAAAGGAATTCTGTCTTAAGGCAATTAGGGCATCGTGCTTTAAGGCAAATTGCTGGAACTTCCCGTACCAAAAATTATTATTTTTTTAAAAACGATTAACATTTTTGAAAAAAAAAATTACTTTGAAAAAATAAGATTTTTGAGAAACTATAAATTGGACAAAGAATTACTTTTTCCCAAAAAAAAATTTTTTTAAAAAAAAAAAATTCTGAAAAAAATTAAAAAAAAAAAATCCCGTCGGGAGAAGCCAAACTCCTACCGGGCGCGTCCCCAGGTGGCGGATAGGGGGTATCCTAACCGATCGTAAGATCGGCGGATTGGGGCGAAATAAAATAGCCCTCGCGGACCAAATATGGCATCGGAGCTGAGGAGTAACAGCCACCGTCCGTGTATAGCGGAAAAAATTAAAAACTCCCTTTTGGTTGGTCACACCATCTGACCTAGGGTCACATACGGAAGCGGATGAGGGGACACTGCTCGAAAGAGATGTGTGGATGATCCATATAGCGCACCGTACGTGAAAACTCCCGGCATCAACGTGCCGCACCCACGGGAGCAAGAGGATGCCAATGAAGGAAGAAGGTGCACGGCCGGAGCGGATGTTTTTTTTTTTCCCGCTCCAATGGTCACAAGCTCTTACAGTAATGGAGGTAGCTGTAGGAGTGATCACCCCTCCACTTCCCAAGGCACCGCGTTCGGAGACGACCTTTTGCTCTGGAGGACTATTTAAATAGCATGGATAACTATGAAAACCCAAAAAACAAGAGACAGGTGACGTAATTATGGACGTCGAGCACGATGCGGCAAAAGCCGCTATAGTAAAAGGAGGCAAGAAGGTTCCCGGTAATCTTCACCGTGACAGAGTAAACTCTGCACCATCGACTAGATGTCGTCAAACGCCGATGGAGAGACTTGGCTCCAAAATTGACGAGCTAGCGGAGTATGTGAAAGATAGGAACAATGTTCACAGCAGAATAAAGGAGCTAATTAGGTCGATTGATACAGCATATAGCCTGGCATTGAAAGAATATACGGCAACCCCCAAAGCTCTCGCAATGACAGTGCAAACTACGCAGACCTCTCCCGAGAAAACTATTAAACCGGGTGTAACTCAGACGCCAATTCCTAAGACCCAGGAGCAAAACACAAACAAAAGGTTGCTATCTTCACTTAGTCCCACCTCTGACGCGGAAACGCATCCGCCTAAAAAATCGGCTGTAGAAAATAACTGGACGAAAGTGGTTCGAAAAAGTTCGAAGAAGAAAGGAGCCCGAGATCCGAAAGAAACCTTGGAGGAAACCGAGAAACCGGAAACCGAAAAAATCGATACAAATGATAGCGCTAAGCACAGAAACAACCATCATAGGACAACTCGGAGGAAACATAGAACCAAGGCTGTTCTGGTTCAACCAGCTGAAGGACAAACGTACGCTGACATCCTTAAGGAGATCAAGGAAAAAGTAAACCCGACAGAGACTGGCGTGGACATAAAGTCCATCAAACAGACAAGAAATGGAGGTGTATTACTGGAAATGAGTCCCAAGTCCGAAGATAGTGCAGCCTTTGCAGCTGCGATAAGGGCAGCAACTGAAAACATAGGAACAGTGAAATCACTGACGCCGCTGACGACGATAGAGATTCTTGACCTTGATGGTGTCTCTACCGAAAATGACGTTCGTAAAGCACTCATTCGGGACTTTACGACAAAACTGGAAATACGACGAGTGAACTTGACCAAAGTCACATCAAGAGGACAACGAGCGGCCTTCTGTGAGATAGACGAGGCTAATGCAATCAAAGCCCTAAATGGGGCCCGCATAAGAATTGGGTGGGTTAACTGTCGCATTCGCCCAGTTGTTAAAGTGGCCCGCTGCTTTAGATGCCTCGGTTTCGGACACCAAACGCATAAATGCGGGGGACCAGACAGAAGCAAGTGTTGCTACAAATGCGGTGGGGAAAATCACAAGTCTGTAGACTGCGCGGAAAAGCCAAAATGCTTTTTATGTACAGTAGACAAGGAAGATCGAAACAGCGGGAGCCATGTTGCCGGATCCGGTACCTGTAACGCATTCCGTGTAGCACTTGCCGAAGCCACGAGAGAACAGAAATGACGCGATTTCTACAAGGTAATCTGAACAGATGTGCCTTGGCGCAGAATCTACTGCGCCAACGTATCTTTGAAGATAAGATCGATATCTGCCTTATCTGCGAGCAATATATGAATATTCAGAATAAAACATGGTTCGCAGATAAATCTGGCACGGCAGCAATATGGATCACAAACTCAAAGAAGATTACCGTCAATGACTACGGAAGCGGCGAGGGTTTCGTCTGGATCAAGACTCCCACGACCTACTGTGTAAGCGTCTACCTCTCACCAAATGAAGGAATCAGCGTATTTCGCCAGAAAATGGCAAGCATAGAAGACACTCTCGGCAATTTTGACGGAGAAGTCATTTTAGCTGGGGATTTCAACGCGAAATCGGCAGAATGGGGCGCCGAATACTCGGACACTAGAGGAAATGACGTGGCAGACTTTGCTGCAAGATTAGACCTTACTGTGTTAAATACTGGGAGTATTACAACCTTTAGAAGGCCAGGGTATCAGGAATCTATTCTCGACATTACGTTTGCCACTCCAAGGACGGCGAACATGATTAGAGACTGGACTGTATCTGAAGAGTATAGTGGCAGTGATCACCAACATGTGACATTTAGTATTGGATCCGGTCCGACTCGACCAAGCAACTCTTGCAAACGAAGGTGGAATGCCAAGAAGCTTGACCAGGAAGCGTTACGAGCAGCCCTCGAGCAAAACGCATCTACTCTTCAAGCTGATCCAAAACTAAGTACCCGCAGAAAAACGGAAGAAACGGTATTTAAAACTATGAACGCTATTGTTACCTCGTGTAACGCCTCTATGCCACGACCAAAAAATCAGGGTGTGCACTGTCCAGCATATTGGTGGTCATCAGAGATAGCAGCACTACGGAAAAGATGCCACGCATTACGTCGCCGCGCCACAAGAGCTGCAAAACGCTCCCCCTACCAAGATTTGTATACAAACGAGTACAAACAGGCAAAAAAGAGCCTAAATAAAGCCATAAAATCAGCTAAAGCCGGATTGTGGAAGGAAATCTGCAATGACCTTGACAAAGATCTCTGGGGCAAAGCCTATCAAATCGTTACAAAACGACTTGGTAGAGCTTTACCAGAAGCACCGAAATCTCCTGCTCTGATGAATTCTATCGTAGCGGAACTATTCCCTAAACATCCGCCACGGAAAAGGAGACAATACGTGGAAAACAGTGAAACTACGCCCTTCACTGTCAAGGAACTCCAAGATGCGGCAAAAACCATAAAAACTGGCAAAGCACCAGGCCCTGATGGCATCCCAGCCTCAGTGATCAAGTTTGTAGCCTTGAAATTTCCGTATATTCTTCTGAACGTCTACAATGCCTGTCTAGCGACCGGCACCTTTCCTACGGTCTGGAAGCGGCAAAGATTGGTCCTAATAGACAAAGGTAAGGGAACCCCTGTAACGCCATCGTCGTTTCGACCACTCTGCATGTTAGACATCGCCGGCAAACTGCTTGAGAAACTTATTCAATGCAGACTGCGCAACGACATTGAATGCGCCGGAGGTTTTGCTAAGAACCAACACGGATTTCAAAAAGGACGATCGACGATCGGCGCGATTCGGAAGGTAACAGAAACAGCAAGAGAAGCATGGCGTGGTAGTCTCAAAGCTCGTAAAGTGTGTCTCCTTCTCACATTCGACGTTAAAAACGCGTTTAACAGTGCGAATTGGGAGGATATTTTACACGCACTAGAGCATAATTTTGACGTAAAGCCAGAAAATCTAGGACTAATAGACGACTACCTCGATGGGAGAAAGTTGATAGTGGAAACGACGGAAGGTCATCAAGAACACGAGGTTACAGCTGGGGTACCTCAAGGCTCAATTTTAGGAGCCGATTTGTGGAACGCTGTCTACGACGAGCTCCTGGAGATTCCCTTGCCGAAGCAGGTGGAACTCACGGGCTTTGCGGACGACGTCGCAGCCACAATCGTAGTGGACAACATTGAGGAAGCTGAACTACTCGTTCGAGAGACCGTCGACACCATAGAGACCTGGCTTGAGAAACACCACCTAAAACTCGCCAAACAAAAAAAACGGAGATGGTTGTCTTGACCCGACAAAAATGGTTTCCAAAACCATTTACCGTAGACATAGGAGAGACAACTTTGACGTCGACAAGGGCCTTGCGCTACCTGGGAGTAATGATAGATGAGAAGCTATCCTTCCGTGAGCATCTCGATAGTGCATGCATAAAAGCTAGCAAGACGGTATCCAACTTGTCAAGGATTATGGCTAACTGCATGGGACCACAAACCCGAAAACGACGAGTCCTGCTTGAGGCAGTCCATTCTGTACTGCTTTACGGAACAGAGATATGGGCGGATATCCTCAAGCAAAAGACTTATCGGCGCAAAATAGCGGCAGTGCAAAGAAGAGGAGCTCTGAGAGTTACCTGTGCCTATCGCACAGTCTCAGAAGCAGCCGTGCTGGTAATAGCAGGAGCCACACCGATTGACTTGCTAGCTTTCGAGAGAGTGAAACTCTACGACGCTAAATTAGGTGGTGACGATTCCAGAGAAACAAGGTCGAGAATTAAAAATGAAACGATACAAGAGTGGCAAAATCGGTGGACGTCAGGAAAGACGGGCAGATGAACGGCGCGTCTGATTCCGGACATTAGCGTCTGGCTCTCTCGACAATACGGGGACACAGATTTCTTTCTAACCCAGCTACTGACAGGACATGGACAGTTCAATGCCTATCTTTTTAAGATGGGATTGCATAGCACGCCAATGTGCAAATACTGTCCATATAGAATAGACGACGCTGAGCACACGTTCTTTGAATGTCCTAGGTGGAAGGATTATCGAAACAACGCCGAGCACATTATAGGCACCAGGCTTACCCCCTCAAGTCTTGTGACCTACATGATGAAACAAGAAGAAAACTGGTCAGCTGTAGCAGCTTATGCACAGCATCTTTTGAAGGCTAAAACCGGAGAAAGGGACCAGTAGTCGTAAACAGGCGTCGCAAGGCGCAGCACGGACTGGATTGATGTAATGCTAACGCGGTTCCAATCCAGTCCTCCCCGTACCATCTGCGGGGAGAGGGGAGAGGAGTGTTTTTTTTAGTGGGTAAAAATCTCCACACGGCCGTCCATCTTTGTCTGCTGTAGGATGGACAGCGGAGTAGCAACGATGGCGGTGTCTTATGAAGATTTTTTTTCGCACCTCTATAAAAAAAAAAAAAAAAAAAAAAAAAAAAAAAAAAAAAAAAAAAAAAAAACATACACACACATACATACACACACACACACACACACACATACATCCATTTTTTCTAAGGTATGCCAAAATGTTCAGAAACCTCTGAAACGTAAAGATATATAAAAATTTTCATTTTCGATTTTTTTGCGATTACTATAACTTACCCTACGGGAAGTTGAAAAGTATAATATTTAGTTAAAAGTTAAGTTTAAAGTTAAAAAAATTCGATTCCTATTAATAAGGAGACGTGCTGATTAGTTTCTGATATAGGCAAGTCTCGCCTTTTTGAAGATACGGGGCAGAAAGTTCCAAAAACAATAACTAAATTTTTAAAAGAACGGAGCGTCTGACTTTAACAACTCAAATAACATTTTACTGGTATTGACAAGATGAAGAACTGATTACATTTTTGAAAAGGCAGGTGTGGCTGTTTCGGAGATCTAGTAAAAAAGTAAAAAATGCCATTTTGAGGTCAAAAGTGATCATTAGACATATGCACATCAAATTATCAGATATTTTATGGAGGTTTTGAAAATATGTATCAATTATGTTTACATTTCTATGGGTTTCGTGACATTATTTGTCCATTAGACGGCGACGCGGCGCTTACGCGCTTTGATATTGCTTCTTTACGCAGCTAAAGCAGTGCAATCGCTTTGAAAAAAGTTCAAAATTTCCAAAATATATCAAACTGAAAAAAACATTATTTTCCTAAAGTTTTTTTTTTTCCAAAAAAGTAATTTTTTTCAAAAATTTGAAATTTCTCAAAGATCTATTTTTTTCAAAGTTTACAACATATTTAATCTTTTTTTAAATAAAAATAATTTTTGGTACGAGAAGTTCCAGCAATTTGCCACAAGGCACGATGCCATACACCACTAGTTTTAAATACTTTTCAAGAATTCTGGAATAAGTATACAAGAAATTAGATATAGTCTAAAAACGCCTCAAATATATTGATTTTAAATGTATTTAGATATAGAAGCTATTCGCGGTTGCTCATAATCAAACTATTTTTAATTACTTATTACTAACCCAAACTTTTTACGACATCCCAAATTTTAAGTATGTTCATTATTGCATACAAAAATATTTTTAAATTTCCAATTATTTCTAACTCATATGCAATATTAATATTTGGCTTTTGAAATATTTTACTTATTTCTTTTGGGCATTCTCTACTCAGCTGTCGAACCGACAACAACTCTCGATAAACATTAAATCGGTCTCGGATTTAATCAAGTAAAAAATAACATTAGTGAATATATTAGTGTACAGTAAAATAAAATAAGTGTAACTAGTTTAACATTAGTGCAATACATTAAATTATGTTCCCCATTAAAGGGAAACACACAAAATTATCAATCCCTATTGTGGAAGCGTTTCACACATTAAATGATACCTTATATGATCTAGAAACCGTGACCAAGGCAAGTAAAGCAATCAATTCACGCACAATCAACCAGACCAGTCAACGTTACAACAAACCATTCCAAACTTTAATAATAATTCTCCGATAACAACTACACAAAATAATCACGAAATGGATCAGGACCAAATCACATGGCAAGCTCCATCACATACTAAAAAACGTAAAACTAAGGAAATCAACCGACCTGTTTTAAATATAATAACACTCCAAAACAGATTTAATCCATTGATAAATCAACTAAATCAAGACCCATATATGTTTATAATGTAAATAACTTCAAATTAATGTATAATGTAATCAAAGAATGCATTCCTTCAACCAAATTTTACACAAAATTTTTGTCGGACGAAACTGTAAAAATACATTGCTCTGATACTAATACTTTTCGACAAATGGTCAAACCACTGAAAGATGTAAAAGCGGAACATCACACCTATCAATTAAAGGAAGATTGCGCATTCAGAGTAGTAGTTCGATACCTATACCATGCAACAACAACTAACATCACAAATGTATATAATGAATACGGTCACAAGGTAAGAAATGCTTTAAATTTGCGCAACCCACACGCAAAACAGTCGCGTAATATGTTCTTCAGAGACTTTGAACCAGCACCTAACAACGAAAACATTTACAAAGTGGACAAATTCAAAAAAAAAAACATAATTAAAATCGAACCGCCAAATGTCCATAAACGCATCGTTCAATGTGCACGTTGCCAAAAATTTAATCATACAAAACGATATTGCAAAATGTAAACAGCCGGTTACATGCTCCCGTTGCGTCGAGAATCACGAACTCAAAGATTGTCTTCTAGATAAAGATACGGTACCTAACTGCGCCGTGTGTAATACTATAGGCCACACGTCTAAAAATAGGGTCGGCCGTGATCCTAGTCTCGGGTTCGAATTCAACCTCGGTCGGTTCGGTATCAAAGCAGCTTGATACCAAATTTTCACTTGAAATCATAGATTTCAGATATGATTTCAAGTAAAAATGGACTTTCGTGGGCGTAGCTGTAGTGGTAACATGCCACTTGGAAGTAAAGAGGTACTAACATTGTATCGCTTTGAAATACAAAGGTAGTCGAGTTGTATCCCTATACAACAGAAAAATGTAAAGGCTCTGACATCGTGCAACCCCATGATTGAGTGCATTTTCAACTCAGCCCACGGACCTGCCCTTAGAAAAAAATATTCGTAAAAAGAAAAATGTAATAAACAGTAAAAATATGTAAAGAAAAAGTAAAATATATGTAGTTGTAAGATAAAAAGAAAAAAATAATTATTAGGTGTACAACTTTGCTTCCGCCGTTTTGTTCCACAATTAAAAGCTTTATTACAAAAAAGTGCTTACAGATGTATTATTCAAAATATTGTCCATCGCTAGCGACAACTTTCTCCAATCTTTCCGGCAATTTTTGGATCCCGGCTCAAAAAAGGAGTCCTCTTGTGACGCTATCCATAAAGCAATCCATTTTTCCAATTCTTCGAAGGATTGAAAGTGTTGATCTGCCAGGCCGTGTGCCATCGAACGGAATAGGTGGAAGTCAGAAGAGGCGACATCTGTGGAATACGGCGGGTGGGGCAAGACTTCCCATTACAGCGCTTCTAGGTACTTTTTGACCACTTTTGCGACGTGAGGCCGAGCATTGTTGTGTTAGAAGATGACTTTGTCATGTCGCTCTTGATATTGTGGCCGCTTTCCTTCTTAGCGCACGACTAAGGCGCATCAGTTGCGTTTGGTTTGCTGAGTTGGTTTCACCCGGATTTAAGAGCTAGTTGTTTATCTTTGAAGGTTTTTTTCCTTCCACCATGTTTGTTTTCGGCATCGAAATCACCATTTTTAAAACGTTGAAACCACACCCGACACGTTCTTTCACTCAGAGCAGCATCACCGTAAGTTTCTGAGAACATTCGATGCGCTTCAGCTGCATTTTTTTCGAATTGTAACAGAAAAGTAAAACTTCCCGCAAATGGCGAGAATTGGGCACATAAACGGACATTTTCGAGCGTGAATAATACGAAAACAAGAACAACTGTCACTGAAACGGAGATGACTATTTGTTAGGCATTGTCCCCACTCACTTTAAAGGCATTATCATCTATGTAGTTTAACCAGCCTCAGCCGGTACAGCCTCAAATCGGAAACGGCGGAAGCTAAGTTGTTCACCTAATAGTAATAAAGTTTAAAAAAAAATCAAACCAGTTTAAAAAAATGCAAATATATATATATATATATATATATATATATATATATTTAAGGCTGTCAACGATATCTAGAATTGTATTCAATCAAATATGGATCGACGACAGATAATAATAATAACAACAATCAAACTGCACCTACCAGCCAAATCAATAATCAACCTGGTTCGGTATATGACCTTAGAAGAGTATCTTCGAAACGAAGCTACGCCGACACAATCAAAACAAATAAACCGATTTTTGCACAACACGCTAGTTTTCCACAGGTACTCTAACAACAAGAGGCTTTGAACACAAATTAGGTAGATAGGCAATTATCGCAGTTCTTATCGTAATTCAAATCCATGTTTCAACAAATGATACAACAAAACAATATGATTGTGAACATGTTATCTAAATAGCTTAGAAATTTCTTAGAATAGCAATTTGAAACGCCAATGGGCTTCTCGTACACAAAAATGAAATATTTATATTTTTGTCAATAAATAAAATAGACGTTTTATTAATTAGCAAAACGCACTTTACTAAGTATTCCCACTTTACTATTCCTTTTTACACCATTTACCACACTCCCCACCCAAACGGAAAACCACAGGGTAGTACAGCCATTATTATTAAAAATAATATTCCGCATTATGAAATGGACTAATTCAACAGAGATTATATTCAAGCAACTTCTGTAAAAGTTCAAACAATGCCATATGAGTTGACTATCGCCGCTGTATATTGTCCTCCAAGACATAATATCA